CCTGGCTACAGGCGACTCGGGCCCTATACATTCATACATACATACATACATACATACATACATACATACATAATTACATACATAATTACATACATACATACATACATACATACATACATACATACATACATACATACACACACACACATATTTCTTGTATGTTTGGATCTTAAATGGGTAACCCCCCAAAAAAGGAACTACAATGGAGACAACAGGTAGACGGAGGAAGCCAGGAGTACATCCCGGTCTGGATCATACGTGCAAGTGGAATAGGGTTTTGCGGCATTATATGAGAAGGAACCCTAAAGCCCTAAGGAACAATATTGAGAATTATCGAGGCCACTCTATTGCAGTTCTTGAGAATACGCATTCCCCTGGATTCGATTGTGGGCTTCGGGGTTTGCTCACGGCTTGCAGGTCTGAACATGGTTGCAGTAGCAATTTCTGCTGGATACCAGGATCGGTCGTCTATTACTCCGGGACACAGACGAGAAAGCCAACCGAACCCTTAGAATCTAACGTGTCGAACTCATCCTGACCAGTGCTCGAACAATTAAATGGGACGCTGGTTCCAGTAGAGAACTCCCGCTGTACATGTTTGTCCAGCTGCAGGTGTTTGGCTCGTTGGATGAATAAAACAGTTGGGAATGCAACATGTTTAATGATGGTTGACATGTCTTTTGCTTTTTTGTGTTGGACAGCGCTGCCCGTCTGTGTGTTGCCGTGAAGCATAGTGGAACGAAGAGTCACTTGCTTTGCCTGCTCCACCATTTGGGAACGGCCCCAGAAGGTCCTAGCAAATGCACACAACAACACGTACTCAAACGTGGCGGCAGGCAGCAGTGAGACGCATTGTATAGAGTGTGACATGAAGATCTGGCAGCTATTCAGAATCGTGGACAGTAAACCCTCTGCCGATAAGTCAGAACCTCTAAACTCTCAATCCCTAAACCGCCAAACTCTTGCACTGGAAATACCCCTAGAACCTAAAGCCCTAAGCCTCAGATCCCTGAGCGGGACCCAGAAACTTGATTGAAATACCTGCAGGCATGCTGGCGCGCGTGGAAGTTTGGTTTTCTCAAGCTGCGCCGCAGGCCCTGCCTTCGGGAACTAATTTCGCCGCTTCTGCATTGACTGCCGCGTTTTGTTTTAATGTTTGGAGTTTGTTTGCCTTGGCTCAGTGTTTTGATTGCTTTGGGATTTCGAGTTTAGGGCCACTTCGGTCGAAGTGTTTCATTTAATTCCATGTTGTTACGTATGGGGTTTGATTTTCGTGTCCGCCTGGGGGTTTGTATGTGGGGTTTGGTCAGGACCTCGGAAGATGAATGTTTAGGGCTCAGGGTTTTGGGTTTGGGGCAGTAAACACGAAACCCTGAACCCTTGCCATCTTGACATCTTACATCTTGTACCAGTGCTCCCTGCTCCTTCCAAGTGCATCGCAGTCACGCCTAACATAGGGGACTTAATAAATTCCTATACTATTTGGGGGGTTCCTGATTATAAATGTACGAAAATATACCCCAAAACCCTATTCTAATTATTAAGGCCCTCAATATTGAACCCTATCATAGAATCCCTTATTATAGAACCCTTTAAGCATCCCTATAAAGGAACCCTCGTCTGATCCTTTAAGGCCCCTACATGAAGCCCCTGGGGCAGCTCCAGCCCCACCTTTTCAAAGGCCGCAAGGAGGCACCCTGAAGCCCGCTGAACCCGGTAGAGGGTTTAGGGTTTAGGGTTTAGGGTTTAGGGTTTAGGCTTCAGGGTGTAGGGTTTATAGGGGTTAAAGGTTTAGGGTTTAGGCTTCAGGGTGTAGGGTTTATAAGGGTTAAAGGTTTAGG